ATGTGTAGGACCCCAAAGGATTACCATTAAATATGACATAGATATCTAGAAAAGTTATCACATAGGTGTGAGACTTGACTTTTCTAGATATCTGTACCAAATTTAATATGATCCTTTGGGGTCCTACACATGGGTGTAGGATGGTCTCATAGGATCCTACACATGGGTGTAGGACGGTTTCATAGGATCATTGCTATATATATATAGGACCCTCCCCCATCCATGTGTGTGAAACCCCAAAGGATCACCATTAAAGTTGGCATGGATCTCTAGAAAATTTATCACATGGGTGTGGGACATGACTTTTCTATATATGTGTGCTAAATTTAATGGTGATCTTTTGGGGTCTTATACATATGGGTGGGGGAGAGTCCTATAGGACCATATATATATATATATATAAATCTTAAAATATAGAATTATAGATGCACCTCAAAAATCTTTCTAAAAGGTTGTTTTAATGACAAAAAATCCTCTATTTGATCATCTCGACATCAAGATGTATAAATATATATATAAAAAAAAGAAGGTTTTTGAGTACAAAAAATAATACACCTTGCAACATATTAACTAGACCGTCCATTTTCAAGATTTTCATATGTTTATGGATCCTTTTGATTTTACCCATTTTTGGAGTTTAAAATTTTCTAATTAGATATGAAAATATATTTTAAGACCATACTAAATATGCTTTACAACAACATTACATGTTATGATAAAAATTGGAGGTGGAGGATTTTTTAAGGTTGCAACCTTTTATATATATATAATTTACTATTTAAAAATTAGGTTGAATCTGAATTTCGATCTGGGTCAGATCTGGATCGGATACACCAGCACTCGGTTCCGATCTAGATTTTGATTTTAATTCGACCCTGATTTTTAAGTATGAATCCGGATTTTGGATCCAAATTTTGGGTCCATACCCGGATCAAAATAGAGTCTGAAATTTAGGTTTCGAATCTGAATCGAATCAATTCTCACCTCTAATTGTAAATGATTCCAACATCGAAGGTCCTTCTTTCGAAAAAGTTTGAAGGTGCTGTGCTTTTTTGTTTAAGGTGGGCACCCCGTATAAACCACACCCATCTAATGGAGATAATATACTCCTTAGTAAAATATATAAGAAAACTTTAAGGAAAAAGTTTATCTAAGGTTGCAATTTTTTTTTTTTTTGAGAGAAAGTTCAAAAATATTATTAAACTAGAACGAGATTACAGAATCCAAAATAATGGCTTCAGAGAGGGTAGAACCTCATTTGGCCAGGGAATTAGCTAGCACATTAGCCTCCTTATACACATGAACAAAAGAGAAAGAAAAGAACGAGGTGAGATCCAAAATCTGAAATAAGAAAGATTTCAATTCGTATGGAAGTTTCTGATCCCCTTTGCACGATTTCACAACATTGAGGGAATCCACTTCAATTATGTAAGAAGTCCCCAAATTCCTCTCTACAAGGGAACAAAGGCCAAATAGAAGGACAAAGATCTCTACATAATTCGCAGTCCGCACCCCAAGTGGCCATGCATAGGAGAAGATCACATTACTCATCCAATCCCGAAGATCCCCTCCAAAACTAGCAAGACCCCGGGTTACCCAATGAGCTACCATCAAAGTTGACCTTATACTAAAGAAATAAGATCCGCATCTAGATCCAGTAGAAAAGAATGTTCCGAAGTTAGAAATATTTCAATTGATCATATCAACCGAGAGATGTATAGATATAAAGAAAAAAGAGAATTTCAAGTGCTAAAAATGCAGGATTTTATGACAAGTTATCTAGACTGTCGATTTTCAGGATTCACAAGTTTTTATATATTTATTCGTTCCTTACTATTTTTGGAACTTTAAATTACGTAAGGTTTTTGAAACTGTGAACTCCATCTTCCAACAAAATTTAGAAATGCACCTCACCATAAGATTGGCACTTCATATATGCCTCACCCAAATTTAAACGTTTTTAACATGAATAGCACTTTCGCAGCCATCTAAAGTCAACCAGGAGTTCAGTCAAAGTCTATACAAAATATTTAATGGTGAGCAAAATCACATCCGTCCATTGTAGGCAATGAACAGTCAGAGATGTGCTAGAAGGAAACCGAAGCATTGTATGCAAGCTATGTTGGATAGGCGGGCTCTTACGTTTCACCCGGTCCCAAAAACTCGCCCATTAGCGGATAACTTTCTTTGGTGACTTCTAAAGTGACCTTTTCTAAGTCAAGCTCAAGAGGGACTCCTATGGTTTAAATGGGATTGTATGCTATGATATTATTTATTTTTATTACAAAGAGTTTATCATTATTGGTAGCCACTAGATGTCAAATTGGGTGGTTTGGAATGTGTCTTAAAAGTTGGAGATTTTTTTTTTTTTGACTTTGAGTTTAGACAATGACACTCTTAAAACCACTAGATTTGAAATCCAAAAGACAAGAGTGATTGTGACATTCTTGTACTAACAATAAATAATATGTTTTTATACTTTTTCACTTTGGATTTTCTTGGCCCCTCTAACTATATTGTTGACATATATATCCACAAAAATAATTACCCAAACACAGAAAGAGAGAGGATCTTATAGTACCCAATTTACAACTCATAATATATATGAGTAATGATCCTATAGGACATTCCCCCCACCTATGTATATACAACTCCAAAGGGTCACCATTAAATTTGACATAGATCTCTAAAAAAGTTATCACATGAGTGTGAGATTTGACTTTTTTAGAGATCTGTGCCAAATTTATTGGTGATTTTTTAAGGTTCTACAGACATGGGTGGAGGAGGATCCTATAAGATCATTTCTCAATATATATGTATATATATATATATATGTGGAAAAGTCTTAAAAATGTTTATGGGCAAATTTGAATAGTATTTTGTCCAACAACGGCTCTAGTAGAACCATTCGATTTTCAGTTTTGCTTGAAAACCGCAACATACATGCTATGTCCATGGCGGAATCTCATGTTTTTTTTGTGAAAAATTGACCATTGCGGTCTTTTAATCCACACCGTCTCTTCCTTTATATATATATATATATATATATATATATATATAGAGAGAGAGAGAGAGAGAGAGAGAGAGAGAGAGAGAGAGAGAGAGAGA